CGGCCCCGCTGGCGCTCGGCTGCCCCGGCACCGCCAGCCCCCGGCGCTCGGCGCCCCCCGGCCCCGCCGGCCCCCGGCCCAGCACTGCCGGCCCCGCATGTCCTGATTTTCCCGGACATGTCCGGGAAAATCCGGACGTATGGTAACCCTAGTCTGTATCCAATTTCAGGTTGATATTTGTGGAGTGTTAGCAACCATCTTTGAACCCTTGGTGAAGCACTGTACAAAGGTTTTCTGAAAATGGCCTCAAGAAGCACGGGGCCTGTTTCCAGTTACTCTTTCCCCCGTAGATAAACTGATGAAATCGAGTCTAGCCAAATACTGTTGCCAGCGTTCCTTTTTCTATCTGGGCATAGCTCTGTTGTGAACTTGTCAGAGCTGTATAGGCAGAAGCAACAGGAACCCTGATTTGCAGCAATACAGACCCTACTCTGGTAGGACTTACATCCACTGACACAGTAACAGGTTCTTCGACGTTAAAGTATTTCATCATGGGTGCCTTTATAAGCAGTTCTTTCAAGTGTTCATATGCCACCTCATGCATTGGCATCCAGGCGAACTTTGAATCTTTTCCCAATAGTTTTCTTACCGGAGTTGCTACTGTTGACATGTTTGGGATAAATTTACCAAGGTAAATAACCATTCCAAGAAATCTGCAATTCAGCCTTGCAGGGTCATTGTGGCCATTTCAGTGATAACAGAAGTTTTTGAGTTGTCAGATTTTAGACCTTCTTTTGTCAAGTGATACCCCAAATATTTTATCTCTGTCACAGCCAAATTTGCATTTGTTCTTGTTAGTCACAGGTTCTTTTCATGACACCTGTCTAGACTCTCTTGAGCCTTTCATTATGGGAGAGGCATAGCTCAGTGGTTTGAACATTGGTCTCCTAAACTCAGCATTGAGAATTCAATCCTTGAGGGGGCCACTTAGGGATCTGGGGCAAAATCAGTACTTGGTCCTGCTAGTGAAGTCAGGGGCTAGACTCAATAACCTTTCAGGGTCCCTTCCAGTTCTATGAGATAGGTATATCTCCAATTATTTATATTTATATTTTATGTTCTCATCTGCTATTTTCCCAGACCGATGTGCCATCTATATAATATGCAACACCTTGCAATCCTTCAAATGTCTGTTGGATCACTCTTTGGTATGCTTTAGGAGCTGAATAGATGCCAAATGGAAATCTGGGAAACCTGTACCAGCCAAATGGTGTGTTGAACATACAGAATCTAGAACATTTGTTACCCAGCTGGACTTGGCAAAATCCACTGCTAGAATCTAAAAAATGAAAATTGTAGCTTTTGCTAACTTGCTGGTGACTTCTTCTACTGTAGGTATAAGAACATAAGAATGGCCCTACTGGGTCAGACCAAAGGTCCATCTAGCCCAGTATCCTGTCTTCCAACAGTGGCCAGTGCCAGGTGCCCCAGAGGAAATGAACAGAACAGGTAATCATCAAGTGATCCATCCCTGTAGCCCATTCCCAGTTTCTGGCAAATAGAGGCTAGGGACATCATCCCTGCCCATCCTGGCTAATAGCCATTGATGGAGCTATCCTCCATGAATTGATCTAGTTCTTTTTTGAACCCAGTTATGATCTTGGCCTTCACAACATCCTCTGGCAAGGAGTTCCACAGGTAGACTGTGTGTTGTGTGAAAAAATACTTCCTTTTATTTGTTTTAAACTTGCTGCCTATTAATTTCATTTGGTGACCCCTAGTTCTTGTGTTATGAGAAGTAGTAAACAACACTTCCTTATCTACTTTCTTTACACCAGTCATGAGTCTATAGACCTCAATCATATCTCCCCTTAGTCATCTTTTTTCAGAGGAGGCGAGATTAATAAGACTGTGACTTTTCATCTCTGAAAAAACTGGAAGAGAAACTAAGTACTTTGCGCCAACTTGGTATTGTTCCAGAGGAGATTCTGAAGAAATGTAGAGGTACTGAGAAAGGGTCTAAAGGGTGAAACTGAGATATGTTTCTGTGGCTATAGAAGGAGACAGGTTCTATCAAATTCTTAGAGCAGCTAATTGTGAATGGTGATGGGATTGTGGTGTACAGTAGTTGTGACAATGGCAAAGTGTGCACAGCGGGTGAGGAAGAAAGGGTCATGTCCTGTGAGGTGACTTGACTTTTCATTTCCTTGCTTTGTGTAAGATCTGTTATATTTGTGTGTCATAACCTTTGTTGTGTTATATTGACGCCTTTTGTATATTCATTACCTAGGGGTTCAATATTTAAGCTAGGGGAGCTGAGCACAGTGGGGGTTGTTCAAAGCTGTGCCACAGAACTGCACTTGTAGTGGAGATGATCAGCTGCTGCACGTCTCTGGCAAATAAAACCTCTGTCAGGAGCTGCATTGAAAGCTTTCACTGCTGGAGGAGAAAATCTGCCAGAAGAGTGTAGCTATTGACAGAAGGTTTTGTCCATATGCCATAGAAGGCTGTATCCATTGGCTACCCACTGGCACTTATACTTTCAGATATGATGCACAATGGCTAAAAGAGACCTTAATTTAAAAAGCAAAATTGTACTCACTGCACCAGATCTACTCAAGATTAATCTCTCTACAATGTGTGTGCAGTTAGACAATCTTTTTTAAAAAGATATTCGACAAAACAAGTCTAACTGCTACAAATTTCAATCATAGACTAAATTTTCAAATCCTTCCTATTATGTTTATTAAAAGAAAT